TCGTGTCTGGTTCTCTGTGTCTGAGTTTCCTGTTTTATTCTGAAGGTCCCCGTCTCATGTGAGTGTGTTCAGTTTACGTTTCCCCTGTCCCGTCAGCTCCGATTTCTCCCAGGTGTGTTGCCCTCCTGTCTCTCATCCCCTGATTACCGGTGTGTGTATTTAAGCCCTGTGTGTTCTCCTGCCTGTTGTTCAGTTCCTCCGTCTGCGGCTCTCTGCCCCGCACTCTGTTTCTTATGCTCTCAGGTTTGTCATTTAGTTTTCCCAGTTTAGGTTTCTCCAGTCATTTGTCATTCCTCACTGCCTGTGATGTCACTGCCACTTCTGTAAATAAACGTCACTCTCATCACCAGTCCACTGCCTGCATTTTGGATCCGTTTCCTCCTTCACCACACGGCTCGCCCCCACAGCCGTGACAGGCAAATGAATAATTTTGAATTAACCTCCATATTTGTTTACATATATTTAGCAAGAGAGCAACACTCTATACTGGACAAGCACCATATTATGTTTTGCAGTGAAGGTCTAGCAACTACAGCTTTGGCATTTTACCATCAAGTTGAACTTTGCAATAAAATGCAATAATATACCTGACAGTTGTCCTATGTTTATCACAGAAAGACTGTAGACAGGTTTAAAATAAAGCTGTGCTTTCTTTTTCACATGATTGCAAAGGTTCAAACAGCTTATTACCAGCATACAGTGGGAAAAAAAAGTTATCACAAAAAAGTGTATATTTAATTTTTTTAAAAAGCAAAAAATGAACAGAACTGCGTGAACAAGAGCTTGGTGTCCATCAAAGCATGTCATCACCTGATCATACGGATCCTTGGGGATTTGACAGCATCCAAAGTCTGAGGCTACCTGGTTGATATTTCCACTCATCAGTGCTTCTTTCACTGCAGCAAACGCTTCACGCACTTTAGACAGACACTGCAGGAAGTGGATGGTGTGAGGTTAACAGACAAAAGTAACAGACTAAAATCTAATCCCTGACACATGATGCACAGATGGTGGCAGACTTCTCACCTTCTCTGAGCCACCAACTGCCTCATTCAACAGGCTCAAGCCAACAACCTAAAATAGAGGAAAGACAGATATGTGATTCAAAAGGAAATGAACTTCAGTAGACACCTTAGTCGTTTGGAGGGATGTAGGTACAACAGAGGAGCCGAAGGTCAAGTCCTGGTTATGGAGGAACTTTTGTGGTGTACTGACATCATCAGAAGGGAAAAACTGGACTTGATCACAGTTACTTCTTTGATGGTGAAAAACACATTCAGCCCATAAGAGTCAGCGATGAAAACACAAAGAAATCAATAATAATTAAATGAATGGTGATATTAAATCCTGTGACCATGGTTTGTGTCGTATTACGTTGTTATACTCAGAAAAGTCCAGCTTTGCCTTGACTGGAGCAGAGGAGGCCACAGCTCCATACACCAGATTGGGAAACTGCAGTACAGAGCGAGAGAAGACACACAAACAATTAATATATTTCTGTTGATTTTACATGATTTTTGTAAAACAT